GGAAGGCCACTGGCAACCAGTGCAGCTCGCGCAGCAGCGGTGTTACATGGGAGTGACGAGTCCCTCCCAACACCGCCCGCGCGGCCGCATTCTGGACCAGTTGAAGCCTCCGGGTGCTCCTCAAAGGGAGCCCCATGTAGAGGGCATTACAGTAGTCCAGGCGGGAGGAGACGAGGGCATGAGTGACTGTGCGCAAAGCTTTAGGAAAGATGACTTCAAACCCATCAGGAAAAAGTTAGATGCAATCTATTAAGATCTACACTAAGACAGGGGTGGGAATCTACTGCCTGGTTATTCAGTTCACTCCTTTTACCTACTGAATTGTCCAGGGAAGCTCAATTACCATTTTAGCCAAATCAGAAAAGCTGTTATTTAATCTCTATTTAAACAACAGAATGTAAAAATCATTATCTGATCCTTTACACCTCCCTGGAAGTCAGATTAACTAGCTGGAGGAGTGAGATCTGCACAGCTTCTATTTTCCAGCACCAGCTAAGCATTTTGTTAAAAGTGTGCACATACATTCATAAAGATACAATATTTCCCAGGTATTTTTATACTACATTAGCTTACATTATGACTTTAGATGAAATCTAACATTTAATATCCTGTTGCATGGATTTATGTAAGGTTAAATATTAAATTCTAGACTTCACTTCTTGTCAACAGTTTGCATTTATGTATAGGATACTATTAGTAACATTAAAAACAATTTAATTTGTAAGAGTAAATTTAACTCTCCATGGGATATAAATGTTTTCCTTAGCCCAGATGTGTATTCTCTCACTCTATTTTCAAGATTAACACAGGCATTCTCTCTCTGAATCAATAGGTTCAATATCCTATATCAAGCCAACTTTTATTTTTACAATCACAAATACATACATTAGCCAGAAACATGAATCACTGTACAGTTTCTTCTTCTGGCTCCAAAAAATACAGTAGCCTTGTTTATTGTCACAAACAAGGAATGCACCTGTACATCAGGAGACATTCAAATTGCATTATCCAATGGGACTTTCCCAGATTCCTTTAAGTATGGCCTTCTTTGTCCTGGATCCATGGATCCCTCTTTGTGATCACAATACTGAACTGTATCTCTGTTGTTTTTTTTAAATCCAAAATTCTTGTGAGACCTGCCTTCTCACAATGATTTCTATTTGTCTTCCAATGGCCTTCTTGATCCATATCAATTAGCATTTTGAGACATTCAATAGACGTAGCACTTTCTCAAGTTCTAAATGTTATTTTGGTGATCAAGTCCCAAGTTCTCACACTAGGCTGACTCTTTAGGACCTGACTGCCGCATTTCATATTTATGACCATAGACACTACTTCCAAGTTATTGTCCCTGGGCATCAATAATGGAACTCTTTATTGATTCAACCCTTGTCTACCTTCTGATTTGTTTGCAAAGTGACTTACACCTTCAGGAGATTTCCCTTATGACAAGAGATCAAGGCTGGATCCTCCTTTATCCTTTTTACCCTTCCCTGGAATACGCCAATTCATAGGTAAAAGCTTCAGTAACACTGTTTCACTGACAATATCAGCCTTTTGTGATTCTTGATGAAGATACATGGCTAAATACGTTGCACTACTGTTTTGACTTGGGATGTCCTTTGCTGAAAAAGCTGAATATAGATAAGACAAACACCTGATTGTCCTTCCCATTCCCTCATGCACTTCTCTCCTCCACCCCATTTGTCTCTGCAATTTCCAGATTGCCCCAGGTTCCTCTGCCTCTTAGGGTCTTGACAGTTAATGATCAACTGACTTTGTTCCTGTTTATTGAGTTTTGCTATCCTTTTGAGGTAGGTAAAATCAGGGAATAGTCACAACAAGGATTCTAGGAATGGTCTTTATTGTTGTAAGGCAGAAGAACAGAATTTTGAAAGTATGTCAGAATTTCTCTATGCCAAACAAAATCAAGGTGGGATTATTTTGAGTTTTTTTTTCCTCAGGCAGGCTAATCCCCTTTTGCTTATTCCCTCCTCATTCCTGAGGCCAGGTCTATTTTCCTTTACAATCTTACAACAGCAACAAGAGTTGAACATTTTCATTTGATGCGTATTTACAGAATTTGAGGATGGAGTTTCATCCTTAGATTACTGCACTAGTGTCCTAAAAGGTCTTCCTGAATTTCTTGCCATCCCCTGATCTTAGCCTAGAGTGGTATCATTTGGATTGTAGTGGATCCTTCAAGTTATTTCATGCTTGTTATACCAGAAGGTACCTCACTGTTCCCCATGCAAACAGCTTAGAATAGGGGTCCAAGCCCGCAGACCGGTACCAGTCCATGGTCTGTTAGGAATCTGAATTGTGCAACCAAATGAAGCTTCATCTGCACATGCATGGGAGCTAGACAACATGCAAAACCACACACACACACAAATTTTTTTTCCATAGAACCAGTCCTTGGTGCCCAACAGGTTAGGGGCCTCTGTCTTAGAACACTTTTCTGGTACTTGTGACTCAAGGAACAAACCTTCATATCATGTTACTTCTCTCCTCCATTATACTCATCCCTAGGTAAGTTCTAAAGCCAGGGTCTCCCGGCTCCTAGATTTCCGTGATCTGGCCCTATAACTCTAGAATCGGCTCTCTCCTTTATCTCTATGAAAATCTAAAGGCCTTTAAAATGTATTTGGAACTCTTTTTATTTAACTAGTACATTAGTGCATGAATTGGTTAATTTATTGTATTCTCAGTAAGACCAATAGATTTCAAATCAGTATTACTTTTATATTAATTACAGATATCTGCAATATCACAGACAGCACCTTTAAATATATCTTTTATTTTGGTTAAAATATTGATTTTATTAGAACATAGAACATAGAATAATAGAGTTGGAAGGGACCTTGGAGGTCTTCTAGTCCAACCCCCTTCTGGAGCAAAAGACCTGCTCGATTCCCCTAAGATGTATTCCTTCTGTGAAAAAATATATACATACATATATACACATACACATACATATACAATTAATTTCAACCTTTTTTTGGAAAAAAATTCTAGATGTATAATCTGAAATTTTAAAAATCTAACATAAAAAATTGCTTAGCAAGACAGATCCATGTGCTCTTGAGCAGTGACATATATTCAGAGAGGGAAGGAAACAACATTAGCTAAACATCAACATCAAGAAATAGAAGATTTTGTAATTAAACACCCAGATGAACAGACAGATAAAAAACTATACTTTTGTTTAATGTCATAGAATATTTATGGAAGGGGGGGAATTATCACTTATCATTATTTACTACTCTATTCTTTAATGGCAATCCAGTCCTGAAACTGAAAAAGAACAGTGTTATTTTGGTCACACTGTTTTGTAATGCTAATTAATAGTTGTGATTCAAGCAAAATTATACATGACAGACAAACACCATCATCATAAAATCCTGTAGTACTTACTGACAGGAGCTTCCATGTAATTGGTCGTACAAGTTTTGGAATTCCTGACCAACTCAGCTTCCGCAATTCTTCTACTCGCCCAGCCAAAAGAAAAAGAACAAACTTAATGAAGAAAGTTGCATGAAAATACATTGGAGTTAAAGTAATTTTCTTAAACATGTCCTTATAAAATTATATGTTATCTCTGATTCTTACACAAGTTCCTATGCCTACCTTTAAAAGGTTGTTGAAATGTAAATCAAAGAATTTCTGTGACTGGATTCTTTGTTGCATAGGAATTAATTTCAATGCCTGCACTTAACAATTCAAGACAATAACAGTAACAAGATACAATTCAAAAATATTAGGTTTCAAATATAATTATTATCTTTTAACCGTGAAAAACTTACATTATGGAATAAATCCTGGCTTAAAGTTAGCATCTAAAGCTGTCTGGGGGCAAATTTGCTTTCTCACAGGATTATTAGACTGGTTCTGAAAAAGATGTCAAACTTCTTGGCAGTTTATTCAACTTTAATAGTCATTTAGTCTATGTTATTAAAATATTAACTTTGCTTCTGAAGTTATATAAGGATTAGAGTTTTGAGAGAAATTTGGTTTATACATCTTTTTTAAATAAAGTTGATATTATTTATTTACCTCACTTCTAGAACAAAGTGCTTAAATGTCCCAACATGAAATTACTTTATTTTGATCATATAAAGAGGAAAATAAAAATGCCTTTTGTAAACTGGATACTGCAAATAATGTTTAAAACATTATGATTCTGGAGAGATCACTGTGTACAAAGGATAGTTCCCCTTGTTTATTTTCTTCAATATTTGCAATCTTTTAAGACACCATGAATTTAAGATTTCTCAGGAAAAGAGAATTTTAAAAGAATTTTTAAATTTTTAAAAAGAATTATCATACAACACTGGGAGAAGGAATTTATATCTGAATTGCAGCAATAATTTGTGGATTTGTGGATTTTTGTCAATATTTGAATTTGGGGATTTTTTTCCTCAAAAAGACAAGGAAGAAAACTTTTCAAATAATATGGTCAAATCAAGTGAACTTGTTTTGTTTATGAAGGTCATTTTTCTTTTACCTCTCTTTTTTATCACGATTAATACATTTGGAATACATTGCAGTAATACATTTATATTTAAATATAGTGGCTGAATAAACCCAGTTTGGTGTACTGATTAAGGGCAGAAGATTGTGAGTTCTAGACCTGCCTTAGAATATAAAAATATAAAAACACCACTATAACATGTTTGCAACTTAGCCATTTTGGACTTCAGTATATGTCCACAGTTTCAAGCAATGATTAAAAATGGGAACAAGACAGATTTCTGTCTTTTCTTTGTGGGCAAATTAATAATAGGAGATATGGTCTGTTAGATAATCATTAGATTTACTGTATATTATAAATATTTCATTCTGTTTAAATTGTATTTACATTTTTTTGTTTTTAACTGTAATTAAAAGAAACCCCATACAAGTATTTTTTAAAAGGTTGGATCCAACTCAGACAGTCGTTTCCACTACATTTAGCACCAGAGAGTACATGTTGTCTTTGAAGGAACTGACTGCCATCCTTGTCCATATTCCATGGGGATGTCTGCAACTAAATACGTCTATTATATTTCAAAGTATTAAGACAAAGTATTTCTGACTCATTTAAGCAGACTTAGGATAAAAACAACATTGATGGAGAGAAACAAATCTCAATGATGGACTCAGAGAATATGCAGATTCAAAAAGTGTTCTCCTTTCAGCAAGGACACTTGCGCAATATAGAAATGGCCAGAAAAATACTGGAAGCTGTATCTCTTTTCCTAGCTGCCTGCAGATAAATCCAGATAATCCTTGTTTAGCAATCACAACTGGAACCAGTAACTCAGTTGTTAAGTGGAGCAGTCACTAAGTGAAACCATGACTGTGTTTATGATTTTAAATTAGTTATTCTTTGCTTTACAAACCTGAAAAGGTCATAAACGTGAGGGTTGTTTGCAAAGTTACTTGTTCATTGTTGTCATAACTACAGTCGCTAAACGAGGCAGTCTCTAAAGAAGGACTACCTGTAGTTCAAATACCCAGGCACATAAGAAACATGTTCTAATTATTTTAACCAAAAGCCTCAACATCACATTATTTTCTTTTTGAAACAGAGAGGCATTGGGAGTAGAGTGGGGAGAAGAAGCAAAGATATGACAGGCACAGAATTAGATGTTTTCTTTGGCTGCTGCTCTTTTCCTGTTTAGAATTGTCACATTTAATAAGTACCCAGGAATTTTAACCAGTATCAAAGGACTAGAAAGAAACTGCTACAAAGGCAATTGAACTCTATTGACAAGATGCTAGAAACAAGACACTACTCTGACATTCAATCTGCAAGAAATCTAACACTTAACACAGTGTTCACTAGATTCAAATAAGAAGGGAATAAAACAAAGGAATGGACAAGAGCATAAGTAACTGCAGACACTATTGCTGCAAAGTGTGAACGTACTGGAAGGTGAGCTTAAAGACTTCAAAGACTGTCTGAATTTCCCCTTTTGGAAACATCAAGAGGGTTTCGCTAAGGAAAGGGCCTCTTAACAGAACTGAACAGCTGAACAAATTAGGAATATGAGAGAGGGTCTTTTAGGTAATAACGCCCTAAGCTACTTAGAATGTAAATAACCAGTCAATATCAATTCCTTAAATCTGAGTTTTTCAAATCTGACAACTGTAAGATAGGTGGACATCTATTCCCAGAACTCACCAGCCAACATGCCTGTTTCAGGATAAATGAAAACCTGTGGAGAACCTCAGCCTCTGGATCCAGTTTCCCATTTACCAACAGCCCAATCCCCACAAGTGGTTTGTATGGGACATATCAGAACAGCCTAGGACAGTGGTGACGAACCTATGGCACGGGTGCCAGAGGCAGCACTCAGAGCCCTCTCTGTGGGCACGCGCGACATCGCCCCAGTCCTAGGCCTTCAGCTGGGTTTTATAAAACCTTTTCGCTTTAGGCCTCCGCCGCCGTGTGCAAAAAAAAAAAAAAAGTTTCAATCAATTTCAACTTCTCGTGGGGGGAAAAAAGATCTTGCAAAGTTGGAATTGATTGATTGAACTTTTTAGTCCCACCCAGTCTGCCGTTACCACCGCAACCATGCCTACCCAGTGGGCCACGCCCACCCAGCACTCGACGATGCATAAATGGGTTTGGGGTTACAGTTTGGGCACTCAGTCTCTAAAAGGTTCGCCATCACTGGCCTAGGAATTGGATAGCAGCCTCCAACTCTACCAAATTCCCGAGAAGATATAGAATGTGTATAAAACGGTGTTCCCAATGTCCCATCCCACAGGTGTCTCATAAGGATACCATGGTTGATTATTTTGAAAGCCACTAACAGGTCCAGAAAATATAAATATGCTGAACTCCATTTTTGGGGGGGGGGGATCCCGTCCAATTTTTTGTGTAGGTCATCCATGAAAATGATCAAAATGTTTTCACTACTTCAACTTGCCTCAAAGCCTGATTTAAAATATGTCCAGAAATAATATCATTCAAGTCACCATCTTCGTTTTATGAAATTAAATATATGAGCTCTAGCCATACAGGTCAAGAGTGAAATTCTACAATAAAGAATTCTTCCTTTAGGGCCCAGGGAAGCAGTTCCTATCAATGTGTTTCATCTTAATAACATCATAATTTGCTTTTTAAAAGTCTGCTTGTTTCCTAATCACAATCCACACCCAGAGTGCCCCAGCCAACTCCTGTCCCTCCTTTCTCCCTGAGATGTCTGTCGTTCCAGCAGTTCAAAGGGCGGGCGGGCTGGATGCTACGATCTCCTAATCACAATTGTTAGTAGGGTCTCTCCTACGGAGGCTTATGCACAGATGCTCCCTATGTAAAGGAGAGACAATGAGAATGTGAGTGTGCTACTGGTATATGAACAGTGGCTTCGAGGAACATTCAGAATTACTGTGCCATTGAATGCAAGCTGCTAAACAGCAACAAGAGAAGCAAAATCTTTGGATAAATATTGCAAGAAGAACAGCATTAGATGTTTTGGCTCATCCAATGCAGTAGTTATTTTTGTAAGATTCTTTGTAGGTAGGCAGGAAAGAAGAAAGAGGATTTTTATTTATTTTCCCTTTGAGTTCTTTGCATTGGTATATATTCCTTTTTATGCAAGGCTTAAAAGGAAAATATCTCTTTCGTAAGCAACTATAAGACACCATAGCTTAATTTAAAATAGGCTAAATACTATTCTTTTATTGGCAAACAGACTTTACTGTATTTTCATAGTATATGGCCTTTAACTTTAGTAAGAATAGTTCCCATGTTCCATTCTAGATCATGCAACAAGCGCAAACATGATCCAAATAAGACTCATTTGATCATATAATTGTTTGCACATCTATTTAACTAATTTGACTTTTTTAGGCAAAGCGGTTTTCAATAGAAGAGAATATATATACAGGTCAAGTCAGGGTTGAATGTGGAGTCTTTGATGCTCTCTGAGCTTGGTTGTTTGTTTGTCATTGATGGCGTTATCTAGTTGGGTAATAAAATGTCTGCAAACAAACAACCAAGCTCATAGAACACCAAGTATTCCAGAAAACATATTTAAGTTTTCACATGAAAAGTGCAAGACAGCTACTAAAAAGACAGAAAGCATGAAATATATTATACCATTAAGGCAGTGACTAAAACTACTTTTCCGGAAAGAAAAAAAAAGCATCAGATCAAAAGACAAACAAACACTAAAATGCCTAATCCCTTATTTAAAAGATGGAATCATAATTAACCAATTAATGTGGAGAAACAAAATAATTTTTCATCCCAATAACTAATGATTTTTTAAAGAAATCATACTACAACAAGAACATAATCTCAGGCTTTCCTGAAGTAATGAACTATTATTCTTCTGATGCAAGAATTTTTCCTCTTCCTAGGAAGGAAATACTTCAGTATCGAGAGCTCCAGTCGAACAACTTAAGCATATTGCTAAATTCTAAAAAATACCCAAGACAGGATATAAAATGTATGCATATCTGTAACCTCTTGTAAATCATTAGCATTTACATTCAATTAAAACAGACATAATTTACCTATCTGTAATATTTCTCCAGCCTGAGCTGGATACATTCATTATGTGCTGTTTCAATTCAGCAACTTTTAGTTAACACAATACAATTACAATGAAATAAATACCAATGAACTACACTTTTACCATGGAGATTTGGTCCTCTGCTGTTATAAAAAATTAGACTCAGCTTCAAATAGGAGTCATTGCTGGCCCGGAGGCCTGCTGGAAACCAAGCAACTAAATACACTCAATATTTTGCTCTAAACAGAAAAGCATTCTTCCATTATTTCCCTTTAAGCGTAATATTTCTGGCTGCATAATTTTAAGGGAACCCACAATTTTTGCTCATGCATTATTTATCTTTTGACACAAAACAGTTACTTCACTGAGAGACTGTAAATTGTAACGTGATTTGAATGAACAATTAAATGACAGACATGATAAACTAGATTTATAAGCTTCAAATTCTTATGAAAAAAATCTTAATTTAACTCCAAAGAACTAGAATATTCTTCTAAAACAATGCAGATTCATGGAACTGCAGCTCCCCCAACAGTATCTGAGAAGTTAAACAGCATAGAGATTGATCTAATAAATAGCTTGATATTGCTATGGGCAACCAGACTAATTGCTTTTCAAAATATGTTATACATATTTTGAAAAATCCATGTCAATACTGTACTTATTTTTTCCCGCATGGATTGAGAAATTAAGAAGTATCAGACAAATGGTGCATGCCCAACACATTATATTCTTGAAAAGCAATCTTCAACCAAAAAAAAGCCAATTTAGATGAAGTACAAAATGTTCTAGTAAAACAGATGAAATAGAGATGTGAAAGAAACAAAAAACGGCACCACACAGATTAATCGTTGAATGAAAACATAAGATTGTTTAGAAGACCATTAAGAGAATGTGAAATATGAGTGTCTACCAGGAGAAAGGAGAATTGTTGAAATATACAGTAGGTACATTGCTGAACTGCACAGCTTTTGTGCTTCATGGAATCTCTTTCCCATTCAGGAAATTGGGGTCGTATTTATAAATATTTACTGCTTTTTCAAGGTTAACTTATTCAGAGAGTTTTAAGCAACAATTCAATATTTGCTCCCAAATTTCCCTTCCACTGAGGGTGATGAGGAACATCCCAACCTTACCCACAAAGCTGAAGCTAGACTACCCATGCAGCTGTGTTTGGCTTCAGAGAGCAGAAAAAGGACATTTGAGATTAGCTATTATGAAAGTGGACAGGCAACTAATTAAATCGTTCCAAGTTTCATGGCCATTTTTCACCAAGAAAGGCATACATAATCTTTTCTCCAAACTTCTGAAATAAGAAACAATACTGTAAGTATTCTTAGCATTATCCTACAAAGACAAAGCATAGCAGTAGGAGCTATGATTATGCGTTCTTATCTAAGCTCTACTTTGACCAATCAGACCTATTTTCACTTAGAAAAGATATTGTAAGGAAGGACTCAACATTACTTTAGCTTGATCTCAACTGATGGACCAAGCTCCCCTTATTCTGTAATTCTCATAAAACATAGTATCATCACAGTTCTAAAAAAAACCTACTGTTAAACAGACTAAATCAGTGGTGGCGAACCTATGGCATGGGGGCCAGAGGCGGCACTCAGAGCCCTCTCTGTGGGCATGCGCGCCATCGCCCCAGTCCTAGGCCTTCAGCTGGGTTTTATAAAACCTTTTCACTTTAGGCCTCCGCTGCCGTGTGCAAAAAAAAAAAGGTTCAATCAATGAGTCAATTTCAACTTCTCGCGGGAAAAAAAAAGATCTTGCAAAGTTGGAATTAATTGATTGCACTTTTTAGTCCCACCCAGTCTGCTGTTACCACAGCAGCCACGCCCACCCAATGGGCCACACCCACCCAATGGGCCACATCCAGCCAATGGGCCACACCCACCCGGCACCCGACAATGCATAAGTGGGTTCGGGGTTGCAGTTTGGGCACTCGGTCTCTAAAAGGTTCGCCATCACTGGACTAAATGATAAAAACTAAATCTGCAACCCAGCCACGTCTGGCAATAGATTATTATTAGTTTCCAGGTGTCATCATATTTCAACATTTTCAACATTTTCAGACCTCAAGATTCACTTTTGTTTATGTGTAATAATTTGATCTTAATGAGAGAGAGAGATGAAATCATACTGCTGGTATGCTTTAAATTTGCCATCTGAGTGCATGGCCAGTTGAAACATCTGCTTCTCTACTAATAAGAAATAAGATACAGAACAATTTCACATATGGAAAGATATCTTGCTGCCTTGCTTGCCTCTATTGCCCCTTGCTTCCTCATGCACACATATACATACATGTTCTTTCTTCTCTTACACATGTATGGTTCTCTCATTCATCCTTCTCAGTCATCCCACAGGAGACACGGCCTTTCAAATATCCCATATCACTTTCTTATGAGGGTAGGTGAACTTTGTTATTGCTATTTTTCAAAAAGGCTAATTTCTTCTCTTCAGTAAAGCACTGCAAACTGAGTTACAGTCTAGATTATTTTCTCTCTGTGTTGTGCTATTAACATAAAAAATAATATTTAAAAAACAGATATAACTTACCATGCTACCATGTTTCATAGAGAACACAGAGGTGGGATATTTTCCACTGCCACTAAAGTTTACAGATGTAAATTAAGGCTCCAATATAATGTACAGAAATATCAAACCCAGACATACTTCTCAGTCTCATCTAGCATTCTACCATAATATTGAATTCAGTTTTCTTTTACAATTTTTCCCCAAATTCCAATAGCTATCTAAATAAGTTCTTGCTTCTAGATTATATTACTTTTTTCCACAATATTTATATGCTGTCCTAACCCTCCACATCTCTGAATTTTCTTTAACATCTGGATTTGTTAATTAATGTGACATATATACTAAAAAGAGTTAAAAGAGTGAGCTCAGAAGGACTAAGTAGCAGAACATAGCAGCTGCAAAAGTTGAAATATGTGCAAAATGTTTTGATGTTGTGTGTTTAACTTGAGAATATAGTGAACATCAATGGCTGGTTGTTATCAACGGACAAACTGTCTAGCCTGGAGAGGGATCAAAGGTGAAAGGACAAAGAAATGGCTTGTTACAAAAGAAAAATGGCGCAGAATGAGATATTTTATTTAATTCAAATAGTTTCAAAAAGTACTTTCATCAGAATTTTATAATAAGAACAACAGCAAAAGTAAAAAGTTAGGCCACTACAACTGAACAATTAGCAAAGGCAGCAACCCAAAAATATAATGAAATGTTAATCTGCCACATTACACTTCTATTCTATTAGTTTCTATAAAAAACATGATGCAAGTATTTTCAAATTCTTTACGAAAAAGAGCAGTATCCCAAGCAAGTCCATAACATATAGGCTGATATATCAACTGATAGGTATCTTTCTTGTATTATCAAGAAAGTTTATCAATTTATGTGATAATTATGACAGTTCCTCCCCTCCACATTTATACAGAAAACACGTAAAAGGTTTCCTAAAACTGACATGTCTACAAAGCTGAAATTTGTTCCTGTTCCTGTTTACTAAAAAGCAATATGTATATTTTTTGCATGTAGATATGTGAAAAAGGTTTTGGCCTTTATTATGAAACATATAGATAAGATCATAAAACTTTCATTTTTCCATGGTGAATGAAAAAAAAACCTCCTGCAAGGAACACTTTTTTGCTGCCTCCTCTTCTTCTTCTTCTTTGTCATTATCACCATCACCAACATACCATTTAACTATAGTTAATCAGGAATATACTCAGAGCAGCCCAATAGCTGGGAAACTCTTTATCTAATAAAAGTCTAAAGTATAATTTATATGCTCACAGAATCAATGCTCATGAAATCTACTACTTCAGATCCTATGGTAATTAAAGAAAATCTCCAGAGAAAAATAGACCACGGTACATATAAATGTAGACCCATTTTCCATCCATGTGGATAAAAAAATTCAACATCTCCCTATGCAGAGATTAAAAAGAGGGAAGCTCTTTGTAAGTAAAATTATGCAAGTGGATGCCTGCAAAATTCTGGCTTTCTAATTTTCTTGTGTCAGTTTAAATAACAGACACACTTTACTGTAGCAAGAAGAAATTGCATTCCTTTTGGCTACCAAACAATTGCTTGAAGGTCTGGGAAGAGTATAATCTTCCTAGAGATGAGATCTCTGGGGATGCAGTTAAAATCTTTCTCCTATCCCTGTAATACTGATTGTTTTTATTCTTTCCCAAGCCATTTTAGAGGAAATTTCACCCAGATAGCCTTAAAACTGCAATGTTACTCTAATATTGACATGATCTAACAACAAAAGCTCAACAGTAGACTTACAGTTAAAATCCTTGGAAGAGGTACTGAAATAGACCACCTGTCTTTTCATTAAACCAAAAGAATTAAAAAGAGTATAATGCAGTAAAAGAGTTCCAATATGCATTTTAGAAAAGAGCAAATTCCATATTTTAAGGAGAAACACCTACTCTTTTCTCACAACTATCAGAGACCTTAATCTAATGTGCTGTTTAATGTTTATGAATACTTACCAAGGTTTGTATTTGGGCCAGCAAGAAGCTGTTTGAATTTATCTAATCGCAATGCTTCTCTTTCAGGTAATATATGAATACCAGAGGAATTATCGGCAACTCCACCAGTAAGTGCACATGTAGAGGCTTGCGGAAGAGACTGAGATCTTGGCACAGAAGTATTTGCATTAGTGTCATCTATAAAATATAACGGGGGAAAAGGCATAAAGTTGACTAAATCTGAAATGGGGGAAAGAAAAGATATTTTTAAAATATGTATACAGTATTACTATGTATCTTCAATAAACCTTTGGCTACAAATAGCAGTATTTATCCCCTTACCACCAAACCAGGTATAAGAATAGATCTATCCTGCCATCAACCTCATGTTTGTCAAGAAGCAGATGGGAAAACTAAGGAGTACCATATTGAAATTTCCTTTTGAAGAAAGGAAGTATTTTACTTATAAAAATAAAAGTACAGCACTGCTATTTTATATAATTGCTAGAAACCTATTGTTTCACAATTTTCTCCTACTGAAAACAGTAAGAGTAGATTTTTCCCACTTTTCCTACCAGAGAAATGTTTCTGGAGAACTAAGAGGGATTAATTCCACGTACGTTGGGATAATAAATTCACAGTATCAGAATTGAGCTATTAGCCATTTTCCAACTTCATTTTTGGAAAATCAGCATGACCTTTCAATCGGTGCTCAGGAACAACTGTTGGATTCAGCCAGGGAAACAAAGGGTAGCCATTGAGTTTGTTAAGTGTAATATACCTGCAGAACTTGATGCGTTTGTTTCACTGACAGATTTAATCAGTCTGTTGTCACCACATGCAGCAGAAGGCAATTCTGAATTTTTCTGTGGCTGTTCCCTTTCTATCTGTTCCTCCTGCAATTTGTGCTGCTCTTGTAATTTGCTGTGATTCTGAATTACTCTGTTAGCCGTTTCCATGACTACATCAGTGTTGAGGCTTTCTGTAGCCATTGCTAAAAGTTCATCATCATCTTCTCCTACATCCCAGGCATCACTTGTGTTGCTTTCAAATTCTTGAAATGTGCTGACTTTCTTTGTTTTTACTGGGGTTGTAGGAGGCTTAGTTCCTTGTTTTAAACTGTTTAAAAAAACAAACAAAAAAGCAGCTTTTACTAATACTTGCATTACTATAAAATTTAATTAACGAAAAATTCAGTCTGACTAAAGTGATATATATCTGATGAAAAAGCAAGCAGATTAGGATGTCATTTTGAGAATAACAGAATAACAGAGTTGGAATCCAACCCCTTTGCACAAGCAGGAGACCCTATACCATTCTGGATAAAATAGCTGTCCAGAATTTCCATGTTGTTTCATTTACTCAACTGTAGCTATTAAAATAAAACAAGCCAAAGAGAAAAAAGAGAGACAAATCTCAATTAACAATTATAAGTAATAATTCTGTATAGGTGTTAACATTTTGCAGCATAACATCTTCCTCAAGAACACATGGTCTTCATATATTTTGCTTATATTCACTGTGAATAAGCATGGTGCAACCTAAACTTCTCTGTCATGCCACTTGAAAATATCGCAAAGAGTGTCAATCTGTTATATTACAGACTTAGATTGTTCCAGTATAATGTTGGACTTCACAGACATGAGATGTAGATTAAAAATCACAATATGAAAAAGTTACATCAGAAGACTGAGTTTGTTTTTTTAAAAAGCATTTGACATATTATAATTTACATGCATAAAATACTATATACTGTATATGCTCAGAGTTAGTACAATCTATATACTACTAAAATTCACACTGTCATGAACTTTTAAACAAGTGAAACAATGTATCATAGGGCAACAATTTTTGAATCAAGTTATCTCAAATGGGTTAACACAGAAACGTTATGCAAGAAAGAGACATTAAGCAATTCCACAAATATCTGTAATGATTATGGTTATAACATACCTTAACCATGTTATTATACATATTAAAGGCATCATGCAACAATTCCCCCCCCTTAATATTTGCTCAGGCATCTATTTTAGAAATGTGTAGATCTCAGGGAAGTAATCTACAATTTTTAATTTTCAATATATTATTGGTTTATTACTTTATTTTTAGGTAATCAATATTGACTTAGTGTTGAGCCTCGAGGTGGCCTACTACTGAAGACACTTGTCTCCCACTCAGAAGGTTGAGAGTTCAATTATAGGTAGCAGCAAAGGTTTCTCTCCTAAGTCACAAATAAAACATCTGCTGCAAACTCCATGTGGTGTCAAAAAGGGCATCCAGCCAGTAAACGTTCAGCTCCATCCAGTCAAGCTGATTCTACCCAAATTAAGGGATTACAGGGTTGTAAAAGGGAGTTTAACCTTGACTTAGTGTAATTGTAAATACAGTATATGTATTTTCATCTGCTGAATTTCTAAGTGGTTCTTGGTTATCCACATGCTAACCGGGACCTTGTCTAACCATGCAACACCAGTATTGTGGGAATAGCATTGGTTACATGAGAAAGAAAACTATGGGTTATATGAAGAGAAACTTAAACAAGATAAGGCATCCAAACAGACATCAGCATAATAAAATAAATCTAAAACTTCAGTAGACACTTTAAAGAGCAATTAACATTTATTTTGTTTTATAAACTTTTACTATCAGTATTGAAGAAACAGCCACAAACTACGAGTTGCCACTCTTGAGAGTCTACAAAATATTCCTTGGAACTGCAAGCATTATTGAAAAATCTATTATAACTGAGATAGCTGAATGACTAGGAGCCTATGGTTTCTCTCTGATATTATAGCAAGGATCCTTTGTTTATTTTTCTGATCTATGAATTAGATTGAACTCTATTCATTATTACTCATCCTGACATGATGTCTTAGAAGACTGATCATATCAGTAGAGCTGGGGTGTCAAACTCAATTTCATTCAGGGCCGCATCAGCATTGCGGCTGCCCTTGGAGGACCGGGTGGGTGTGGCCAGGGTGGGTGCGACTTACTGGATAGGCATGGCCAGCTCTACATCATTTGCGTCAAGGGTGCCTGTATGGGCCTGAGCAGGAGTGGGACAGATCTGAGAGTCTCTGGCAGAAGGAAGTGGGACCAGGACAAGTGTCAAGGCATGGTCCACTGTTCCTCTCAGGCCACGCCGGGGAGGGAGCTGGATGGTGGTGTAGGCTGCCAGGAGCCCTGGACAGCAGAGGTCAAATATATTTGCTGGTCACTTCCAGGCAACGGTGCACTTCTTCATTCCTCACAAAGGGTGACACCTCCCCAGCATGCACCCAGGGGGCAGGGCTGATGTGGCAGGGGCTGGTTCCTCGCTGTTTCCAGACGGCCTTGTGGAGCTAAGAATGCGTTTCAGCATAGATGGCTACCACAAAATTGTACATTGGCTCCCGTCCGGCCTGGGCCAGGGCCAAGGCAGTGGGGGCCGTTCCCTCACTGTTTCCAGGATGGCTTCGCGGGCCACATGAAATCACTTCGCGGGCCGCATCCGGCCCCCGGGCCTTGTGTTTGACATGTCTGCAGTAGAGTGTATTCTGATGCCTACAGTATATTCACTAGAAGAAAACAGATCAGCTTCTCTTCAGAAAGGGTAAGGTCAATGAATGAATGTGCAACCCTCGTACAGAGCAATGTAAACCTATAAGATTGCCATTCCAAGTACCTATGACCTTGATCCTATGGCTTGCATATTTCCAAATTATCACATAACATTTACTGTGATGAAAAAGAACAAGACAATGATCTACATGCTCTCCCAATTTCTCAGAGTAAGAAAACGAAACCACTGCAGCAAAAAAAAAATGTGAACCAGATTATAGTTCGTATATAACATCAAATTACTGTTTGTTAAAAAGTAGGATTTACTGCCCTGGAAATAAGCAAAGTATAGCGCATTAGTATCAGTAAAGCAAATCACAAAGCTTTTATTTTACATAAAGAAAGCAGTATTTACATACAACTACAATCCAGGATTCTTGGCTAAGTTTTTATGGTGAATAAGTCACATGCTGGTGCATAAAACCTGTTCATTTCTGTTTTCTGTTCTCTTTATGCAATCAAATGAAACTGAGAACGCATGACAATAGGAACCTAGTTACAATTTCACAACCCAAAAAGTAGAAGCAAACAACAATTCAGAATGTATTGCTAGGTTAAGATTCTGGCTTGTTTGCAAACAACAGAGCAGAGTCTTAAACTAGACAATCCATAACTTATTGGGCATCCTTTCAGATATTTTCTTGCCAGATTCGTCAATGCTTTCAACAATAACAGAGCTTCTAATGCACTGTCTTCACTGGAGAGTTATATTCAGAGATGTATCTGCCTTTAAAATAGCACATGTTGAGCTATATAGCATAGTCAAACAACAGCACAGGAAATATTTTATGAGATTTTGTATTATGTTGTAAATTGTTTCATATGACATAATTTTTATGTCATAAAAATGTTTTATAAAATTTGACAAATTTCAGTTCCATTAGTCATCAATCCTGGATTTTGGGTGCATTCTGTAAGTTAGCCCATATGAAGTACCTTGATTTAAAAAAAAAAACCTTTGCCCTATAATGCACTGTTTCACCCAGTTAAAGGTTACAGTTATAATTTTAATAGTAAATTGATAATGCAATAATCCATTAATTCCACCAGTTTATATAAAGGGAAGGAAAAAATACACTGTTAAAACTGCATGTTGTAGTTCCTTTTAAGCTATAGTATAATAACAAAAAGTAAATGTCATTTATAAACATTATGATGAAGTTACTTTGTGTTTAAACATTTTAACTGAAAATGTTAATATGACTCAGTTGATCAGGCTATTTGTATCTCTAAGTTTTTAACGAGAAATGATTACTTATTTCTTTATGGCATGTCATTAAATATTCATTCAATATGCTAACTTAGCCAAAATGTATTCTTGTATTTATGAAGCCACTTATGCCAGAGAGAGGCAGAATAGGAATTCGACTAAAGCATTTTTCAAGTTTAAGATAAGGCAGTAAGATATTCACAAAAATAAAGTCCCTCAGCCACAAAAGAAAAAAAAACTTACTTTCCATGTAACAGTGGATCAAAAGGAGGATGCTGAGCTCCATACACATGTTGAATACTAAAAAGAAAAATAAAGAAATAACATTCAATTCAATTACAGCAAGCTTCTAATACTTGGAAGTAAGTCCACAAAATGTGAATGGGGCATATTCAATAATTACTTTCTATAGAAGGTTTCATAATACAGAGTTCATAATTATATCCATCACAGCATACATGAAAGGATCCTAACAACTTACAAAATATGGAGATGCTTAAAGGTCATTACTGGAGCTTTACAGTAATCTCAATCTCATTCCCAACTCCAAGATGAAAACAAAGAGTTGGAAACATGACACAACTGCTTCCTTCCTTACAGACTGACAAAGCAGCAACTTTGGAATTTTGAGCCTGACTACTATGAGTGCAGAAATTGGGACAATACTAAATGGCAACAAAGAATTCAGGCATCCAATAACCCTATGCTGCTACTGTATCTAATGAACAGTTTTCTGCATTCCAGATCTGGTAGAAGTAGCAATAACACTTAGACTTGTGTACCACTTCACAGTGCTTTACAGCTCTAAGTGGTTTACAGAATCAGCATATTGCCCACAACAATCTAGATCCTCATTTTACTGACCTCAGAAGGATGGAAGGCTGAGTCAACCTTGAGGCGGTGAGAATCGAACTCCTGGATACTTACTGAAAAGACGAGGAGGAGAGGAACAAAAACTACTTGACTATCTCACCTTCCATGGAAGCACTTATCACCATCCAGTTCTTAATGGAGGAACAAAATCTACTGGCGAAATTGTTGACTTGGTTAAAAAGACCATCTAAAAGCGATACAGGCTGATTTTTATAACTACACTACAGGATACTAATACACACAAAAGGCTAACATTAGGCTGGCCACAACCTTTGGAAAGCCTTAAAAATCTAGTTGTATTACTTGTCATGGGAGTCAGAAAGTTAATCTAAGCCCATGAAATGTCATTCTTTAATATCATTCTTGTATTATTTGCAGTAGCCCGTAGGTAAATGTATATAATTTATTGACACAGATATTGTTTTCTCATGCATATTTTGTTATTGTTTTTATGAACCGTTAGCTGCCCAGAGTCACAATGGCAAGATTTAATAGAAGGGGCTCTTCTTGCTTTTGAAAATACATTGTTTGGAATTCTTAAGAATTATGTGAAAATGGAAAGTGAACACAGATGAAAAGGAAATTTGAAGGAAAACAATCATTTCCATATGTGAATAAATACTTTACAATCCACTCCATTGGCTAGAATCAATGGCCTGTATACATTACAGGAAGGGATATGCTGTACTCGTTAATGGAACAATAATCTATTTACTTTTTTGATGTCAGAAATAGTTAACAAAGCTTTTATTTATAGTATACTAAAGTAGGCAAAAGAGGTTTTGTTGTTACAGATGAACCTCATATTTATTAAAATGTTTTCAGGCACAATAAAGTTGCTGAAGTTATTCTGGCAGATATTATCATCATTTAATGGAGGACATTTAATGAAGGACATTCAACTAGTCTGGAAAATATCACACTAAAATCAAGGTTCAACTTTTATCTTCCACATCCAAATCCATTCTTCATCCTGTCAATCAATTTGTCATAATAAAATTTATATTCTACCTGACATAACATTCTTCCTATCCAAAATAAAGAACCATGTGAAGCAAATCATCCAGATTTATAGTAATCCAATGAACTGCTACTATTCCAAATTTATATTTTGAACAAAGCTTATGCCTCTCAAAATATTAACTGTAATTAATATGAAAAAATACTTTATTCAACCAAAATCTCTTTCCATCAAAGATTTAACTCCTAGAATGTTTTCCTGAGAGCAATTGGTTATGCAATACCAACTACTGTGACAAGGTTGAATATATATGTATTAGATTGTATGATTATTTTATTGAGATATGTGCATAATTATGAAACACTTGTGCATACACATTAATTTCTTAACAGCAACCTATGTTTACAGGTTTGAAAACTGTAAGACGTAGGTCTATACAATCACCACCAGTGATTTGAAAAAGCTCTTTGATGGATTTAATATTTCATCCATTAATACTGGCCTAGATCTCCTTCCAATAATGGCATGATGATGATGATGATGGCATGGGTGAAGAAACTATCTTTGTGTCTAGTTGTTTTAGCATGCAATTGTATAGGGTTTCCTGCCTGATCAGGGGGTTGGACTAGTAGACCTCCAAGGTCCCTTCCAACTCTATTATTATTATTATTATTATTATTATTATTATTATTATTATTATTATTATTATTATTATTATTATTATTATCATCATTATTATTATTATTATAATAACAGCTTCTTGAGAGGAGAAGTTGAAACAGTTTATGTCCAGGATGCGAGGGGTCTGTAGATATTTTTTCAGCCCTCTTTCTGGCCCGTGCAGTATACAGGTCCTCAATGGAAGGCAGGATGGTAGCAATTGTTTTTTCTGCAGTCCTAACCATCCATTGAAGTCTGTTTACTTGCGTTGCCAAACCAGACCACTATTGAGCTACAAATTACAGACTCAGTAATTCCTCTGTAGAACCGTTATCAGCAGATCCTTGAACAATCTGAGCTTCCTGAGTTGACGCAGGAAGAACATTCTTTGTTGTGCCTTTTTAATGATGGTTCTAATGTTAGCTGTCCATTTCAAGTCCTGAGAGTTTATAGAACCCAGAAACTTGAAAGGCTGTGTTGTTAGTAACACAACTGTTAAGTGATTCTGGCTTCCCATTGACCCTGCTTGTCAGAAGGACACAAAAGGGACCACATCCCCAGGACACTACAACTGTCATATCTATCAGCAGAAAAGGATAACAACTCCAAGCACTGAGACTGAGAGATGCCTTGCCTCCGAATGGGTGCGTTAAACGTTATTTAAGTGATACTTTACTCTGACTTAAAGGCGGCGGTTCAGCCCAGGAAGATCATAAAGTGTCACCTCTGCTAGCGGCTGCTTCTATCGCCCTCCCAGGTCCTAGTTTCTCGCGGCGAAACATCGGCAAAGTACTTCGAGCAAACTCAGCACCATAGTAGGGGCCAGGGCCAGAAGAACAGCCGCCGCCGCCCTCGCCCCGACTTCTGCCAACCCCCACAACCATCCGTTTCCAAAGCCATCGCTTCGTATCCTGCGGAACCGAACGCCTCGTGAAACGGGAAGGCAGAAAAGGTAGAGGCGACACCATCGCGCTTCTGCTCCAAATGAAACGTACTTTTTCAGCCCGTAGAGCCCGGCCACTTTACACGCGCCGCTTAGCCACCCCGCAACTTTTCGCCTGCTTACCTGCCCGGCACCCGAGACACATTCCGCTTCCAAAACTGCTTCTTCCCCCCGTCGCTCGCCATCTTCCCGTCACCTCATAGCGCTTCTTCTCCACAGCGGGAGCGGCGAATGGGCGCAGGATACAATGCCCGACCTCGACCGGCGGGTCCCGATCTCTTCTCCAACCGAGGCCAAAAGGTCCGGGGCTCACTCCATCCCAGCCCCTTTTCCTTTCCTCAGAGACCTGCGCGCTGCCATCTTGATACCCCAGAGCAATCCCTCTCGCTATTGGCTCCAAGCATCACCTGTCCCTTTCGCCCTATCACAAGTGAACATACTTCCGTGTGGGCTCAAGGCAGCCCAATTAATATCAGCGAATCCTATTGGAGGACAGTTGGAATTTCAATCAATGGGAGTTTCCCTTGGAGGCTTGGGACATAAGGGAGGGTTTTCTCGGTCGCCGATTGGCTGTTTTGGCATTCTTTTCCCGCCCCCACGTCGACCGCTTGTCACAAGTGCTGGCTTTGGAGTAGAACAGCCACACAAGCACAACAATAAGAATTATCATCACCGCCCGGTTATTAGTGGCATCGTAAACTGGCCTGACGTCAAAACATTAAACACAGAAGCCTATATTTAAATAGGGTTGGTCTCACATCGCCTTGATTCATTAAATTTCTGAGCCTGAGCTGCATAAATAACTTATCTTTATTTTGGGCATATCAATAAAAAGTAACAATATAAGAACTACAATAAAAAGTAACAATATAAGAACTACAATAATTTCGATTGTGGCAATAAAACCTATGAGGTATTAAAAGAATATCTAAAGGCAAGCATCAATAACATGATGCAATAATATTAAAACACTGTGATGCTTATGCAAGGAGTCATAATATTAAAATGAGATTCTTAACCAGGAGGTGAAAATAAAGTAGGACATGCAATGTATAGCATTTCTTTAAAGCAGGGGTAGTCAACCTTGGCTCTTTTATGACTCGTGGACTTCAACTCCCAGAATTCCTGAGCCAGCTTAGCTGGCTCAGGAATTCTGGGAATTGAAGTCCACGAGTCATAAAAGAGCCAAGGTTGACTACCCCTGCTTTAAAACAAGCATGTCAAACTGCCTGTCTATGGGCCGGATGCGTCACGCCAAAACCGCGCCCACCCCACTGCTGGCAATGGGGAAAATGTCACGATATCTCGTGCGACATCACGTGACATCGTGAGTTTGACATGCCTGCAGTTTAAAGTATGGTCCTAGGCACCCCAAGAGTCCCCCAAGATGATCTCTGGATCCTCCAAATGAAGGCAGTCTATGTAGAAAAATAATACAATATTAAAATCCCATCAAGTAATCTTGAGAAATGGTAGTACAGGTAGTCCTTAAATTACAACCATTCTTTTGGCAACCTTTTGAAGTCACAGAGGCTCTGAAAAAAAGTGACAACAATCCTAGTGCTTAAGACCATCACGGCATCCTCATGGTCATGTAATCAATGCTTGGTAATTGACATGTACAGTATTTATGACAGTTACAGTGCGGGGGTCATGTGATTGCCATTTGCAACTTTCCCAATTGGCTTCTGACAGGCAAAATCTGGGGGAAGCCAGATTTGCTTAACGACCACATGATTCACTTAAGAACTGCAGTGATTCACTTAACATTTCTGACAAAAAAAAAAGCAATAAATTTGAGTGTGATTAACTTAACCGCCTTGCTTAGCAATGGAAATTTTGGTTCCAGTTGTAGTCAAGAGCTACCTGTAGTGTATGCATCAATTTTAATTTTTAATATAAATTATCTTTCTATATAAATAAAAATGTAAATGTTCATTTGTTCAAAATCTTAAATCTCCAAAAGTTCTTCACTGATTGCTTTGAAATTTTGACACAACGTTGCATTCGAATATGCGCGTGTTTTTATATACCTATATTATATAGATGTCACACCTGTGACAGGTAAAAACATGCTTTTTAAAAAAACAGCGCCATCTGTTGAACGTAAAAGCAACACACGCTAGATAATGGAACAACAAAAAATATTGTATACCCACAAGCATTGTGAAATTAAACATATTAGAAACGTGCACTTTCTCTTTTCTTTCTTTTCCATTTAACCAGACTGAGCTACAGCAACGCGTGGCCGGGTACAGCTAGTTTATAAATATAACCCAACAAAAGGTCCTTTGGAATCCGCAAGAAGCACTGGAATAGTATAATTCAACTTTATTCAAATTTAATTCCAATTTAACGCAAAGATGTAAAAGTACAGGAAAAGTTGTTTTTTTTTAATCTATTAGATTATAATCAGAGATAAGATACAACTGAAAGATACACTGTAAAATGTACAATTAACAATCTTGGTTCATTTGGGTTAACAGTAGGCTAACAAAGTAGCCGCACAGAACTTTGTGACTGCATCAGAAGCATGCTGGTTTGTACGTAGTTAATCATCCATAGATGCCCTGATACTGGGTCAAGGTTGTGTGTGTAGAAGAATGACACTTTGGCTCCCTCAGAGAGGGTACGCAATCTGGGTGTCCTCCTGGATCCACGGCTGACACTGGAAGACCAGTTGACGGCTGTGGCCAGGGGGGCGTTTTACCGGGTACGCCTGGTACACCAGTTGCGGCCTTTTCTGGACCGGGATGCCTTGCGCACAGTTACCCATGCTCTTGTCACCTCCCGCCTGGACTACTGTANGCCGCGCCCTCAAGACATGGCTGTTTCAGCAGGCAGGACTGGCCTAGGGATATTTTATTATTGGATTTTTAATCAACTTTTAAAAATAAGAAAGGCCTATTTAAATATATTTTTTAATTTGTTTTAATTTTGTATATTGTATCAATTGTTCTGTTTTTTAATTGGCTGTAAGCCGCCCTGAGTCCACCAGGAGAAGGGCAGGATATAAATGCAATAAACTTAAACTTAAACTTAAACTTAATAGATAGATAATTTTTTACAGTTAATGACTATTTCATAAAACACATCGCATGAACTAATATTAATAGATTGATTAAGTAGGTGTATCAAACTGCTACATATCTTGCATATAACTTGACAAAGTTTAGACACACTTAAACAGAATGCTTTTGAGTCTGAAAATAAAGTTGATTAAAATGATTGGGGAATTTGATTAGATTCAGGGTTAATAGCTCATAGCAGGTATCAGCATAAAATGAATCAGAATAAGATAGATCTGATTATTTAAATTACTCCCTCTCTGCATGGACATAATCCAGATTCAAAATTCTCTCAACTCAAATGTATTGGTTTGTATCAGAGAGGATAGGTTCAGCATGCAGCTCATCAAATCTCCCTAGATATTTCTTTTTTATAGGTGTAACATCCTCCTGAACGCAGATACAAAGAGTAAAATTGTTCAGTTGTCATGACAACAGTATAGAAACGCTGCTGCCTTCTTCCAGGACGTTTTGTTTTTCCTTCCCACTCTTCAGCTTGCCGATTACCTGATGGTCTCCCATCCAAGTACTAATCAGACCTGACCCAGCTTAGCTTCTTGAACATAGACAAGGTCAGCTAATTTAATATTTGTACAAAAATACGAAGATTTATAAAGAAAAAGCAGGAAATTCTTATTCTTTGTTCTTAGCTGGCTTTTACAAAAGAGAAAATGCAGATTGATTTTCCTCCCTCCCCCCAACACATACTTGTCTGGATTTCACTGGAAAAAAGTAGAAATTTGTCCTAAGCAGAGCTCCACAATGTTTACTTGGAATCCATCTAAAGCCACTGACAAATCAGAAATTACATCCAAATATTTGGCACTGCAACAGCACAAGAGCATGGCCTGAAAAAGGATACTCAAATGGGGACAGAAACCAAGATGGAACAATTAAGGAGGCAGAAACAGATATACTCTAGTCCTAATAATAGTTGCCAAATGCATTTAGCACACACAGGACTACTAGATAGCAACTGATCACTTACCTGCCTCCCAGCTTTCCATGGCATAGCCACTGCAGTTATTAGACTGGATGGCTAAGCATCTAATTCAAGGTCTGTCATAAAGAGAATAGTGAATCCTCCTAATAGGGCTCATCACTGGGATTGGACAAGTAAATATCTGGTTGGAGGCAACCTAAAACTTCTAAAAAATTAGATCTCATCTATTTGCACATAAAAAAAATCTCAGATGCAGTTATTTGGAGGAACCACTATGATACAAAAATTGATTCAGGTTATATGTCCTCACTGTGGATTCTGCCTGAAACCACAATCAAAAAGCATCGCACCTGTCAAGGGCTATAATAATCACAGATCTAATTGTTTCTACTTCCCCTATGACACAAAAATCTGGATCTAAGGTGCAGATAATTTTTCACAGGATTCATTTGAACCTACTGTAAAAGCTACATGGAATTAGCTGTAATAGACATGAATCTTCCAGTGAACAGTTTGTGAGCCACGTGATTTTGAACTTCACTGGGTCAATGCTTTCAAGGATTTTGAGAAATGGAAAATGCAACTCATTGTCATACATTGAAGACTGTACTACACTGTTGTCCGCTGCCCAAAACCTACTGCATTACTCAGTGCTTTTTTTGTCATAGAACACACGGAACGGCATTATGGCAGCTTTTTTTGAACGGAAGAACCGGTTCCTTCTAAGCTGCCAGCACGAATACAGGTAATCCCCTGCAGGCTCCATTACACTCGTAACTCGAGGACTACCTGTAAAGCTCTGGCTCGGTGAAAGGAAGCTGCCTGGGGAAATTGGGGGCGTCGAAGGTCAACCCGGAAACACTTCTATGGCCCTGAAAGCAGACCCTCTTCTCTGCCTTGGTTCATGGGGCTCCGCCCTCCACCACTGTCTGTCCTCACCCCTGTGTTGGCCACCAGGGACCAGGACTGACTCCTGGAGCGAATCTCTTCGAGGGACAGGCGCACTCCCAAAGCAGCAGCACTACCGCTACCTTGGTCACTCTGGTCCAGAGGAAGCCTTTGTGTCATCAGTGGCGGAGGAGGACGAGGTGGCAGAAGACATGCCAGCTCCAAACAAGTGCCCTCTCAAAAGCCGAAACAATGGTGTCCGTCAGCTGATGCTGCTCACGTGATCTGCGCCTCAGAAGCTCCTTAAAGTGGTTTCCTCTCTCCCCCCCCCCCCGCTCCGTAAAGACTGGAGCCGGAGCTGTGCGTGAATTCCGGCACCTTCTTTTTTTTTTCTTTTTTTTTTACAAAAAAAGCCCTGGCGTTACTTGTTTATATCAGGGAATCATCACAGTATTTGCCAGAAGTCATCAATTTGACAT